CCCCACAGCCGCTTTTCCTCCAGAAACAGCGGCTTTTCCCCCACACGGCACCAGCCTTTCCCTCACAAACACCTTCTTTCCCCCGTCCCGAAAGAGCCGGGTGAGGCGGCTCCGAGGCCGCGCCGCCATTACAGCGGCGGCTGCGCTCCGCCGGCTGTGAGGCGAGAGAACGCGGCGGGGTTTCGGGGAGAGATAAAAATCTTATTATGTAACGCACATTTTTTATAGATTATTGTCGAGTCCAGGGCTGGGGTAATGCGGGCTGTCAGCAGCTGGGGCGAGAGGCTGAGGGACGAGCGGGCTGCGGCCGCTCCCTCCCAAGGGCACTGAGGCACCATTTCTTCACCAGCCGTGAGGAGAACTTTGATATATTACGTTATTTTTTTTTCCACAGAAAGATCTACTTAACGTGATTACACATGCACAGGTACGTCTTTTCCGGCATATCGAGTATAAAGGCTTGCTTTCTGTATTATAATCTCTCCAAAGGCATCTTAAAACGTTCTCCCTTGTGCTTCAATCTCGAGAAACCCGATACAGTCCCAAGGGTAAAAAAAAAGCCACGTTTAAAGGATGGTCTCGGTTATATTTAGCTGAGCAGCAGCACAGGCTGACACGAGCAGAAACACAAGGAAGAACGGAGTGAAAACGTTGGTAGCAATTGGTAACAAAAACCTACGAGTATCTGAGGCGGATTTTTTTTTTTTTTTTTTACATTTTCCTTTCCCTAATTCACATTTTGCCACGCACAGAGAACATTAAAGCAGCACATGGGTTTATGTGAACAAAAGGTAAGGATGAGGTGTTTCACCTGACTCTGACAGGATTTACTCTTGCCTTTGTGTAATGGAAAAGGCTTCCTACTCTAAGAAATTCTTTCATTTTCTTTTATAAATCTTAACCTAATTCTTTTCCCATACAAACACAAGCCTGCTAAACCCTATCGTTCTACCAGAAGAGATTAAAAATTTTCAGCTCATCTCTATGAAATGTATGTGGAATTATTTAACCTCGTCAAAAGCCATCTCACAGATGCTTCAATAAAGACTAAACAGCTACGTTTAACCTCATTTTTTCCTGATTTTTCATCTGTCCTCAGCACAGGCATCTCCAAACCCACTCAAAATCCCAAATCCCAGCTAAATCAGTGACTCATCACTTCTGGCAGCAAACGATGTGGGAAGGAGGAGATGAAGACAATAGTCTTCAAATAGTAGAGAAAGGTTTGCATTATGTAATGAAACTAAAACTCACTTTTTTTCTACTTTCACTTCAGTTGTTGAAACAGAGTAGTAAAGTCCCTGACTAAATAAAATACACAGGAGGTTTCAAGGAGCCTGTTTTTCCCATGATTAAAATCCTCTTAGCAGTATTTTTCATCAGTTTATTTCAGTATTAAGACACGCATTTATTCCATTCCAACGGTGATTCCTTGCTCCAGAAAGAATTTCATCACAGAGAAATCTAAAATTAAAACCGATCTCTAATTACCTTATGCCATGCCTGCTTGTCATGAGAACTTTAAATACAGCTATCAGAATTACAAAATAAAAAATCCCTTTTCAACTATCTGTAAGTGCAACTTTCTTCCCATTTCTTGATTTTGGGAAGACTGGAATGACTATGCTCACATGGATCTTGGTGAATATAAAACCAGTCGTGTACCTAAGCTGAAAATGCTCTTTTAATTTCACAATATCTGTTTCATATTACAAGCTATAGAGAAAAAGTCATCTAACTAATTATTCATCCAGCTCCAGCATCCTGAAGATGAGACAACCAAATAAGTACTCTTAAAAAATAAATTAAAGGGGACTACATTACACATTATAGGAAATGATTAATTTAACTGGTAAATCCCCCAGCATCCTTCACATCAGACAACTGAATAAACACTCTTAAAAAATAAATTAAAGGTCAAGGGAAATCTTGGGTCACTTATCTATAGATTGAACACATTTCTCAGCCTGGACACCACCCACAAGAAATCAAACACTTCTGCCTGGGTTTTTGTAAATGAATTCAAACCCTGTCCCAACAATTTAGGATTTTAGGAGCAAAATGCTCCACTCTCAGCGCCAAGTGGTTCAGCACACTGCTGCAGCAGAGCTTTAAAATAATCACTAACACATGGAGCAGCAAGAGACGTGTCAGGCCATCTGACGTTACAAAACTGAATCAAAAAGCCCAGAAATTATTTTTAGCACATTAGAGCACCTCAACAAGCAGCCTAGAAAAGAGCTCTTTCTACAAAAGAAAATAAAAAAGCAGAGGGGTTGTTTCCAGGAGGTTGGGCAGGGCACAAACAAAATCTGGTTTGCTTCCTATGGGATCACCCAGCTTCCATCCAGAGCCAGCTTCTTCCATGACACAGTACAGAAAATATGTTTGCTAATGTATCATTTGTGGTGTGTGTCTGAATCACCAAAACCCAGAAATTCAGGCTTCTGGTGGTGGTGCTAAATTATCATTTTCAAGGGCTTTTTCCTTCTTTCAAAGTGATAAAAAAATTCCATCAACTCTTTTCCACAGTATGGGTGGGGAATGAGCAATCTCACATTCAAAATTCAAAACACAAATTCCTCTGCAAATCCACACAGGAACCATCCGCATCCACCAGCTCTGTCAGCTCAGCAGGCAACTCCTGAGAGGCCACAAAACACCCCAAATAAAGCCTGGCTTCAGAGAATACTGGTTATTTTTAACATATTCTTTCTGGTTTGAGTTTCTCAGTTGCTCCCTTGCAGCCCCATTACCTGCAAAGGCCTCTGAACAGCAATTTAAACCAAAGTTTAGTTGAGATCCAACACAAGAAACTCTGAACCTTTACAAGATTAAGGCTTTTTTGGGTTGTTTTTTAATTTTTAAACAAGCAGATTGTGTTTTTTCAGTATTGTCCAGGAAAATCAGCTCCATTTAATCAGTGTTAATTAATTCACACAGCTCTTGAAAAACCACAAGCAAGGAAACCCAAACTTCACCACCTTTCTGCTGCTTTTTCACAGCTCCTGAAGGACAGTGCCTGGCACAAAGTTCCCACAAGTTCTGAACATGCACCAAGTGTCCCAAACACCCCAGGGCAGAGAACACAACTTTGCCAGCTGAGACCAACAGGACGAGACTTGAGTGACCAAGTTCTTCAATTTCAGAAGAATGCAGTGTCATAAAGACCTTAATAATACCACAGCCTCACAAAATTGGCCATTTCCACTTACAAAAAAAGCCATAAGAGAATCTCCAGCTTGTTAAAATCCTCAAGACCACCACAGAAATTGCAGACAATAATTATTCTCCAGACAAATGAAACTGGATACGTTACACAGCAAGTGGGAGCACCAAACCAGGGAAAAGGGGGTGAGGCAGCTTTCTCTCACCAACAGGGTTTGAGGGGTTTAGTATTTACGTGGCTAAATTCAAAGTGTGTTGAAAATTAAACACTAGTGCTTTGAGAGACTTCAAAGCCAGGTGGGATTTTGCTTCCCAAAGTAAAGAGAGAGTTAAATGTTTATTATTATCTAACTGATTGCTGAGAAACATGTAAAACTCTTTTCTGATCCTTCAAAATTAAATATACAATCCACCAGATTCCATTACTTGCTCGACTGAGTTTGATTTCATTGTATTAATAAGAAAAAAATGTTTTATTTCCTCCCAGAGTATCGTCTACTTTTCCATTATTACAACTAGAAATTGCCAAGAAAATGAAATGCTCGAGCACAGCAGACACTGCTTTTCTTCTCGTTAAATCTTAAAACTTGGTTCCAGTGGGATCATATTCAGTCCTCTCAAATTCAGAACAGAATTTCATCCTGCCTCAACATCCCAACAATGACATTTTATAAATATTACGAGTTTCTTGGACGCCTTTCTCATTCCACAAGGAGCAGAGAAGCACTCTGTTTAGGGATTTTTTTCTTCTTCCCCTGCTTGAGATTTTTTTATTAAACCTTAAATGTAACCAGCCCTCCTCAATCCATTTTCTGCAGGATTTTTTGGAGACCTTTGGAAGTCTCACAGATTTTCTGAGCTGTAATAATTGTGACAAATCTTTGACAAAGGATTGTCTTTATTCAAGCAATGATAAAGCTCTCATTGAGAGAGGTGCTGGAAATAAACAAGTGCTTAAAGCAGCCTAAAAGTTGTCTTAAATCTCCACCTGCTCTCCAGCCGAGACAGGGCCTGGATTTCTAAATCCAGGAGGAGCAAACAATAATTAAAAGAAGTAAATAAATCCTTGCATGGTTCTTTAGACATGAGGGGGGTGGGGCAGTCAGAAGAGGAGACACTGATTTCCTCATCTTCCCTTCTCTACACTTTCCATGAGTGTCAGCCCATCTCACCCTTCCAGGAGGTTCCACACTCAAGGTAAGATTTTGTGAGAATAATTCCCTTGGTCAGAGAGTTCTGCCAGTGCTAAAATTCTATTCACAGTGTTATTCACAGAATCCCAGAACAGGCTGGGAGGGACCTTCAAGTTCACCCAATTCCACCCCTGGGTTGCTCCAAGCCCCGTCCAACCTGGCCTCAGACACCTCCAGGAATGGGGCAACCACAGCTGCTCTGGACAACCTGAGCCAGGGCCTCACCACCCTCACACACAGGAATTCCTTCCCAAAATCCCATCTAACCCTGCCCTCTGGCAGTGGGAAGCCATTCCCCCTTGTCCTGGCACTCCAGGCCTTTGTGAAATCAAACACTCTACTGGTACACTTATTTACTTAATGAATATTTTTAGTTTTAGAAAAGACCTGGTATGCAAAGGAAACACTGCCAACTCTGCAAACCCTCCTGAAGAGCAGAGCTCTTCGCCAAAGAGTATAAAACATTTATGGGTGCAACTGTAGCTTTGTGGTTTCCACTCTTAGGGTGAATTTACTCTTAAAAGACCAAATACCAGAGAGGCACTTCAACATTAATTTAAAAATTATTAAAAGAAATCAGTGATTTTCTAACACCTTCTTTTCTCCCCTGTAGGTCTTTTGTAAAGCCACGCAAATACAGAGCTATTGCAGAACCAAGGACACAGGAAACACATCCCCAGGAATGGCAAACTTGGGTTATTTTTTAAGTTTTCCAATTCTACAATTTTTGCTGTGAGGCAGCAGGGGGAAAAATGGCAATGTGACAAATCAACCTTGTGAATGTCAGCAGTGTCAGGGAACAAGAAGAAACAGAACAATACCATTCATCATTTCCCAAGGTATGTTGAAGTGTGGTCTGTAAAAAAACAACCTTAGAAATTGCTTTTCCTCTCACTGAAGCAAATAAAAGCAACCCCATTCTGCAGGCAGACGGGCAGCAAGGCCTTGTGTCTGCACATCCCTGCTCTGCCCAGCCACCATCTCACGGGTGCTGCATGGATCCATCACAGAACACAACCCTGCTGCCAACCGAGCCTTTTTACATTTCACTCATGACTTCTACATCAACCACCAAAGCTTTGCCGCGGAACAACTCGGGCTCACACCTCGGGACCCGTGTAGGGACCTACCTGTCACTGCTGGTGCTGCTGCTGCTGCTGAGGGAGTCGCTGCTGGAGGATCTGCTCCGGGAGCCGCTGCCGCTGGGGGAGCGGGCGGGCCGGGCGGCCTGGCTGGCCAGGCGCTGCGGGGACTGCGTCCTGGACTGCGACGAGTGCGGCGAGCGGCTCCGGCTGTGCTGGTAGTTCCTCTCCGGCCTTCTGCCTCGTACCTCCCGTGTAATGTCATCCCTGTAGATATCCCTGTGTACCACACTGGGCAATGTAAACTGCTCCCGGGCCCTAGGTTCGTATCGGGGGTCGTGAGTGTCAAAACGGTTTGGGCTTCGGCTCCGAGAAGTGTAATAGAGCCCGTGTTGTAAGGTCCGCTCCCGAGGGTCTCTATAGTAATCCTGATCGTAATGTCTCGTCCGATCAAATCCGCCCGTCCCCCGCTCATGGTGTCCATAGGCACTATGTTCATAAGCACGCTCCCTGTTATCTGAAGCCCTGCATTTGGGAAGGGGGAAAAATATTGCATCAGAAAGGGGCAGGCACAACTAAGAGCAAATCATGCAAACATTCACGGCAGCACTCGACTTATTGTTGCGACTGCTTCTCCACTAACCAGCAATAACCTATCAAGCAAACAATGACAAACTTCAAAACGTTTTACTTGACTCCAAAGTTATATTTGTATACGATCAAGCTGAGCAATCACTTTGGTTTAATCACAATATGGGGCTTTCATGACCAGCAACTTGCCTGCACAGGAAAAATTTCTGCTTTCCCACGCAGAATCCTCATGTCAGTTGTTCTTTTTCTTTTAAATTCCATAAGCAAGAAAAACTTCATGTTTGTGAACATCATCATTAACTTATTCTTTTTCTCTCCATTTTTGCTTAAGAGCTTCAAAATTATTTTTTTTATTTGAAATTTGGTAATTACTGGAGCTCTTGTAATTATCCTTCTGCAAAAATGGCATCACAAATTGGGCTGTAGCCATGAAAGCCTCCATGCAAAGCATGACCCAGAGGTGAGAAGCTGCTTTCAAAAGGGGTGGCATAACCCATAGAGAATTCCCAGAAAATCAGGGGGGTTCTTGTTGCTGTTCTAAATTATTTCACCCTCTTAGAGGGAATTTTTGCTTTGACCAGATTGCTACACTCATTTCTTGTAAAAGCTGTGGACACTACAGAAACATCTCCATTACTAATGCTGGAGCTGCAAGGATGCTGCAAGGTCCCCAGAACATACTAAGACCTTACACAAGGACTGGGAACCCAATTTTTAGGCAGTGTGTTTGCTGTGACTGCTGCTGTTGCTGCAATCATGGAATTTCTATCTGCACAAGCTGCTGCTTTCCAGCAGCTACAGTCCAGTTAATTTCAGTGTTTCAAACACTTTAAATTGAGAAAGGCTCAGTGATGTTCTGAGTTAGTGTGATCTCTCAAATAAAGAGACAATAAAACTGACATATAAAGGAACACTACAAATAGTTGAGTATTCCAATTTAGACAAGTACATCTTAGTTACATCCACAAAATGGAAGATCCATAATGGCTACAACACTGAACATTTAAAAACTACTTCTAAAATTCTAAATATATCAGGGTAGCCAAAGTTAATTTAAAAATTAATTATCCATCTAATGAAGGACATTTCAACCTTTTTTTCAACCTTCTCTCTCAGGTTCTTCCTTCAGAATCTGTTATGAGTCACTTCAGTAATCCCCTGAATCCAAATAACCCAATTCTGCCTTGTGCCTCCTCCTCCTCTCCTGCATCACAGCCCTAGTTCGAATGGCAGAAATATTTCAGGGATCTTTCATAAACAGAAAATGGGATTTGAATCTTTTTTCGATTACCATCTCAGGAAGTGCCTTCCATTCCTTCTCCAATGAATCACTAGATCCTTAATCCTCTCAATATATTCACTCTCTCTTGTTAAACTGTAACTCATATCAAGCTTTCTATAGGGCTCCCTCACATCTTGCCTGCATTTTTTTCTCTCAAATTATATATAAAAACTACTTAACCAGTGCAAGAGAATGTCATTAACTTCTACATCTGCTTGAAATTCATTGTTGCATTTCTATTTCCATTACCTCTTGCTTGCAACAATGGAATTTTGAAAGCTATTTCAGAATCTGGCACAGAAATGTGTCTCTGTTTTGGTTTTTTTTTTCCCCTTTTGAAGGACCAAGATCAACAATTTAACAAACTATTGCATTTAGCATCCTAAAGTGTTAATCAGTGACAGCTGATTTAATGAGGTCAGAGAAAAAGCAGTATTTTCTAGCGGGTTACTGCTACAGAGCTGACAGAAAGAACAAATCCTTATCCATGAGAAGGACACAGAAGACAGAGGAAGCAGAGCTGAGCAGCTACTGGCTACAGTGCTTTCTTCATTTATCTATTAGTACTAAGTGCTACTGGAGTTAGTGGAAAGAGAGGGTTTGACTTGGGTTAGGAGAGGGGCTAATATACACAGGGCAGGACATACCAACCTTTTCCAAGTGTGGGAACACGACCTATATTCCCAATTAAATCTAGGGAGAGAATTGTGAACATAACTTCCCCAATTTTGGCCCCTCTTACAGGGGTAATCCACCTTCTTAATGGGCAAGGGTGTCAAATGATATTTTAGATGAACCAACAAGAAAAAAAAAAAAATCTTAGTGACAGGACACAAAAAAAAAAATCCACTGGACGGAAGTAGTCCCAGACTGAAACCGTAACTCTGAAACCCCCAGACTTCTTTCTTGAGACAGAAGGCACTTAAATAGATCCATAATTTTAATTTCCAGCCCTAAGTCTGAATCAAGCAGCTGGTAGAAGATCCCCCGAGGCCCGAGGGCCCTGACGCTGCTGCCAGCAGGCATCCTCTGGCCGCCTTGGTAACCATCCAGCCCAGTCACGTCTCACTGGTGTATCCACAAACGGGTATTAGCACCACGTCCTTAAAGCTAAAGTATGTTTAATGTGGAGCAGCAGAGAGCTTTTTAAGAGACTAGATAGTAATCCACTCCCCATGGCTACTGGCGTCTTGACTGTATACCATCCAATAAATTCAAGGCAGTAGTTCTTATCCCATCTTTAAAAAAAAAATAAACTATAATTTCCAAAATTTAGTAATGTCCGTCATCTCTTTTTGCCAATACCATCAGAAAGAATAATCCCAATAACTTGGAAATGATGTAGATCCAAAATGGAACCATCACAAGCTGCCTTCGGTCTTCTCCATCCAAGCGTTATTTCCATGGCTAAGTGTTGTCGGTAGAATCCAAGGGGCCGCACCATTAAAGTCTACTCTGAATTTTGTGGTGACAATCCAATTAACATACCCGCTGCATATAGTGAGAACTGAGAGCTAGGCATCAAGCTTTCACCGAATTCTAGGTTCTAGTATTCCGAAGATACTCCACAGAGAGCTTCACCACATGTTGTAGAGTAAGATAGCTCCATCTGGCAGCAGGGATACATCCAGCAAAGCCTTAATATTATCCAAGAAATGGGATCGCTACTTCTAGAAAAGAGTAACTCCAATATCGATGCTGGCCAAAGGAAATCTTCCATCTTAAAACCACCTTATTTCAAGTGTAGGTAGATATCCAACCAGCTGCAGGACACATCCTCTATGGATCCACAAGGTACCAGCCACTGGGATAGAAATCACTTCCGTTTCCAACCCAAAATAGGAAACATAGATAATTCCCAAAATTTTAAATCCATCTGGGGGCCCTAGATACGAGTTTGTGTTTCTCACCATATCAAATACAAAATACCTGCCTAGAGAAACCTTGGAACTTACCCATCAAGTCTCCGCTCATAACGTCCTTCCCGTGCATGAAGTGATGGTGGGGGGCCGTAAGTGGGCCCCCCACCACCTCCTCTGAACCCAGAAACCTCTCTACTACGAGATGCTATGGAAACTGTATCATCCAATCCCCGTGCAGCACTGGGAATGGTTCCTGGCTCATTATAATCCGTCCGTAGGTCTCTATCTCCCATTTTGTTGACAGAGTTGTGTGCCTTCTGGGCACTTTTGATGTCCACAAAATCCACAAACGCTGCCACTCCACCTTCTGACCCCCTCTTAGGGAGGATTTTGACACTTTCGACACGTCCATATCTGGAAGAGAAGCAAAGCAGAGCACACACGTTAGTGCTGGTGGGAAAAGACCATGTTTAATAACATTGCCTCCTGCAAAAATCAACATCCAACCATTCACCCCTTCCCCTGTGCCAGGAAAATCAATCACTGGTAGACACCAAGAGGGGAAGAGCCATTTGGAGAGGGGGAAAAGCCATTTAAACTTTCCATGGTTACATTTCAACTCCTCTCTAGCAGTGTGAGGAGCCTACAATGAAATCACCCTTTTTACAGCAACAGAGCAGCAGCAACTGAAGAAACAGAAAGGTGTTCACAACCAGAGCACCCTGCACATCATTAGTCTGACACAATTAAAGAGGCACAATTGAAACAAAACCGTGTCACAAAGAGAAATACACACAGCCAACAATTTTCTTAGGAGACAAATGACCTTGACACAGCAATTCCACTACTTTGATCTGTATTTAACCCAGAGTCTGCACTGTGATCTTCATTCCTGATCTCAAACCCACTTAGACCCAGCAGAGCTGACAGGACACCAGGGCAGCAGGGACCCCCAGACCCAGCAGGGACCCCCAGACCCAGCTGCTGCTCTGGGGTTCAGCCTCCCACCCCCACTCCAGACCCAGCTGCCCAACAGGAGCTGGGAAATGCCAGAGGGAATGTGACACCACCCTACGTAATGTATGTTAAGTAACTGCAACACTGGCACTTATGGATGAGTAAATGTCTATGCAAAATAAAAATAAACCCAAACATGTTTGTGTACACAAGGAAACAAGATGTAAAAACATATTTAAATAACTTGCATCCACTCACAGCAGAAAGGACAAGCTGGGTGGGATGAGCATAGTGACGTTTTAACAGCCAACAACTGCAGGGTTTGGGTGCTCAGATTGCTCAGCCAAAAGATTCTGAGCAAACCAGGGAAAA